ACACAGACAACCTCGTGACAATATGCGTTTTGTACTGCTGTTACACAGCACAAAACGCATAAAAAAGCAGATTGTGACGACCCCGGTGTGTGTATGTATATGTGTACGTGTGTGTATGTATGTGTATACGTGTGTGTATGTATGTGTGTGTGTGTGTGCCCAGCATTAAGGTAAACACCTACGAATGCAGGTGCATTACCGTTTTACAAGAATGAAACGGAATTAAGAAAAAGAACGTATAACATAGTTTTCGCATCTCGTCATGAACATTTACGGAAACTAAAGGTTTTGTGATGTACACGTACTGGAGATAGCGAGCTGCAAATGAAAGCAGGGGAAGTCGGGGAGAGCAAGGCCTGATATTGGCGCGCGTGTTCAACTTTTTTGTTCTGCCTCTTTTATGTCTTAAATGACTCTTAAAATAATTTTTCAGTTTGGCCAGGGGCCGTTGCTGCCACCGTTTATGGACAGTGCGACTGCGGCCAATGCTGCTGTCACTGCCGCTACCGAAGATGCACAAGCCGCTCTTGGAGTTGGTTACGCAAGTTTCGGATACTGCACGCAGCAGCAGTCGGGCAGTCTTTCTCCATCACTCTGTGAGCGAATGATGCGCTGTGAGAATGCCAAAGAGGTGCAGGAAGTAGGTTTTGTTGTTTTACGAGGCTAGCTACACGCAGCGGCAACCGGAGCAGATCTCAGTTGTCTCTGTTCCCCGCATCATCGTAATTTTTGTGCACTGGCAATCCTGGTGATGGCTTTGTTTGTCAAAGATCAATACGGATGGTCCCGACCATCAAGATTGTCTGGAAATAGTTCGATTGCATAAAGTCCAGTAATCTTTGTTCTTAGCTTTTCGCGCTGGCTCTGTGGATTTCCACTTTTTTTTTTTTTTTTTGATCCAGCTTTTCTGGATGTGGAAAATGAGGGTCGACGGGAGCGGGGGAAACTCACTTTGGAAGATGATAGGACGATGTCTTCGAAGTTTAACGAATTGCTGGATTCGCCACTGCCATCTTTTAAATGCATTTCATGCTTCTGCAAGTCAGGTTTTTCTACGAATGATCCTAGTCTCAGTGAGTGCCGTTCCGGGCTAATCTTATGTTCAAGCTGATAGTTGCTGATTTTGAGCCTGCGCCCGCTGTTTTTTCGTGGACTGCTTGAAAGTGGTTGCATTTTTCCCTTGCGCATAGGTGTTAATGGCAGCATCGTCTATTATAAAAAAAGGACAATCTCTTTCTGTTAGCTGGCACCTCAGCAAAAGTTTGTCTGCTTTTTTTGCCGACCAGACTTTCTGGATAAAAAAAATAGCTATTTCTTTTATTAAACCTGAAGTTCCTTAAGGGAAGTCTAGCCATCGCTTTTTCTTGTAGATACAAGTTGGCTTGGAACAGCTCGTAGCGGAACCGGGTGAATTTGAGACTTGGGCGAGTGCGATTCGGGAACGCACCTCAAAGCATTCGTTCAAAGTTGAGGCCCTCAAAATCACCATCGACATGATCACACAGCTGGTGAGTTGCTTATATGCTTTGGTGCATGAATTTTGCTTTCACTGTTTTTAGTCCATGCGATATCTGTTCTTATCATCACTGAGCATATTTCTGTTTTTATCATCACTGAGCATATTTCTGTTTTTATCATGATATTGAGGCCCATGTCATTGAAAATCAATAGTTTTTGAATTTGAGGGCGGAAACGATTTGTGCAGTTTTTTACAAAAATTTTTGCACAGTTTGCTGTGAAGCGCGGGCAGGATCGCAGGTCTGACCTAGTTAACTTGCGTAAGCAGCTTCCTTTTTATGCGTTTTTTGCAGCAATGCAGTGCGAAAACGCATATTGACGAGAGGTTGTCTGTGTGTCTGTGCGTCTGTTTGTCTGTGTGTGCGTCTGTCACGCACTTTCATCTCAGGACCTATAAAAGCTGCGGGGATGAAATTT